TTGCTTATTCAAGATCATTTCAATAAACAACATTTATTAAGTGTAAATGTTAGTTATGACTTTTGTTTTTATATATTGCTCCATACTACTTTTCAGTCATAGTTATGATATTTAAGGTCCCGTTTGAATTTGCGTTTTTCTCTTTTTCTTTTAATCAGCAAAAACAATCAATTTGTTATCTACCTAGGTAAATGTTTCTTCAGAAAATTAATGCTCAACTACACCAAATTATAGCTATATTTAAATATCGCTATTACAAACAATAACATGAAAGCGAAAATTCTAACAATGTTTTTTTTCATTGCACTAGGCATATCTTTCAATGCAGCCAAAATAAAATCAACTAGTTAGAAGTTTGAACTAACAAAGGCAACAAATGCTGCACCCGACCAAAACATTTAAAAGCAGCACACTGATTTCTTACTTATTTTTTAATTACAGGACAATGACATATAGTTGACTAAACACAAGAAGATTTTAACTTTTAAGTTCAAAATGAAAAATGTAAGTAGATGATACATATATTCATTTGGCATCAAGTTTCTTCTTCCAACTGCTGAAATTAAAGATAAATGGACAGTTTTATGATGAAAAGCAAAAATAATTATCATTGTGCTAAGTTGGTTTTTGTTTCTGAATCTATGGTCATCCAAATGTTGCTTCCATATGAAAGATTTATTTTGCACTTCAAAGAAAGGAAAATCAGAATATATAGATTTTAACCAAACATACTAGTACTTTCCAGGATTGCATACATGAAATTATTGGTTAAACCAACATATAGTTGATGAAATTTCTTAAATAATTCAGACCTTCACAGGAAGATATTCTTATCTTTCCTTTCTATTGTATTGCTCGAAGGGTCATTACTATGTAAGTTATTAGAGACTTACTCAACTGTGCCCTAATCTCCCTAAACACAAATATGGCCTACAAATCGGCTGCTTACAACCAACTAATCATGTTCAACGCTTTGAACGGGGAAAAGAATCAATCTCATATAGCTTGATATCACATAAACAAAAACGATGGATTTTCAATAAATATCTAGGAGTTGGAGGAAACTTTTTGGTAAAATTGTTCAATCAGTTCTAAATCTATGGTACGGATACCAATTTAATTCTTAATTTTTCAATTTTGCCATTTTAGTCCTAAACCTTTCTACCAAATTCCATCGTAGTCCTTCCGGCCACTTTTCGCCGAAAATCGCTGACGTGGCGGTATGCCACGTAAGACGATCGACAATGACTGGATCGCTAACGTGGCGTATCCTAGGAAATTCCTCAATAAATATATGCTAGGGCATGAGCTCGGGAGAGATCAACTTGCGCGTATCATCTGAATTGATAATCTCTACGTAATATAAAGCCTTATGAGATGGGCTTAGTAGTAAAGAACAAGAGATATGTGTGTGGATTAGGCAAGCAACTTCTCCAATTCCGTACATTATCGAATGCAAATAATTTCATGTTTGGGCAAATACTGAAATTTAGACTTACATTTGGTATATGAAGGTTTTTTTTATGGTCAGAATATGGTCTATAAAGTTAGCAAGATATTGATGTGCCCGAAATTTATCTATATATCTAAAGTAGGCCTTTTGCGATAAAAATAAAGTTTAGGTAAGGTATGTCACATATTCTACGAATGGGCCTTATAAAAAAATATAAGTACTCACTTTTGAGGCTATCAATATTTTGTATGCGAGAGACCATTATCTAATTGAATTTAGGCTCTATTTGTTTCACGGTAAATATTTTATCAAAAGACATTGTCATCATTTTCCGACTTTTAGATTATTTAGGAAAATGAGTCAATGGAAAATATTTTCCTAGTAAATAGAAAAACTATGCTTAAATTCAGAAAAATTATTTTATTTTTTTAAAAATTTGAAATCATTAAAGTACGACGAGACATCGGTGCTTGGGTATGGGCACCCTGACGCCCATTCTTGGGTCCTTAGCGGCTGGGCCTCAAAGCCCAATGCCCATGTCGAGATTTTTAGTGTCCGTGCCTGGGTCCTAGGCAACCATGCCCGCGATACCTAACTGCCAAACCAGGTCCATTGAGGCCAAGACTAGTTCCTCGATGGTCGAGCCCGAGTCCACAAAGGTTGGGCCAAGGTCCATCAAGGATAGGCCCAAGACCCTGGTGCTCATGCCTAGGTCCCTGCCAATCGTGCCTGAGTATCGATTCCTGTAACCAAGTGATCAATGCCCGAGTCGATAGAGGCCTAGCCTGAGACCCTGGTACTCGTGTTGAGGTCCTCAAAAGCCATGCAAGAGACTCTGTTGCTTGTGCCTAAGTCCTTGATGGCCATGCCCTGGACTCGGGTCCTCGCCATGGCTCGGTATCGGCTCGCACACCCAAGTCATTGACGCCCAGGCCTTGGTTCTCAAAGGCCAGACCTAAGTCTATAGAGGCCGAGCTTAGGTCCACATAAACCGAGCCTAAGTCTATGGAGGCCAAGCTCCAATCCATTAGCGTCGGGCCCAGATCCATAGAGGCCAACCTCGGGACCTTAATGACCGTGCCAGGGTCCCTAGTGGCCATACCCAAGTACCCGACTCCCACGTCCAAGTCAATAGTGGCTGGGCTTGAGTCCACAAAGGCTGGTCTCAAGACCCTAGTCCGCATGCCTGGGTCCCCGACGACCATGCCCAAGCACCCGAGTTTTGTGCCCAAGTCACCAACGATTAGGCCTTGTTCCTCTCTGGTCGAGCCGAAACCACTTGTGTAACACCCTAGAACGTCACGTGCGATGCAAGATCTTTCCTTAATTTATTTATTATTCTTTTAAACACACAAAAGCATAGTAAAACAATCGCGGTAACAGAAATTTAACAGGTTTAAATGACATACATATGGATCTTTCTTTTACATCCATCTTCCAAGTATTAATACAAGCATCCAAAATAAAATAGAGAGTGCATTAATCCTAAGAAGAAGGTCGGGTTAACTAGCGTCGCCACACTCATACTTAACCCAAAGCCTACCTATACATTATTCAAACCACCGTCCGACTTAAGGGTTTATGACCTCGGCTATCATAGTATCACCTTCATCATCATGACCGGGAGACCATCAAATCCCCTCACTAGTCTACAATCTTGTTATTAATGTCAGTATATAAGTCAATTTTTTTTTGGTCGAAATATAAGTTAAGCTCAAAAATGTCAATAAGCAACCAACTTTTCGTCAACCTCCTTTTTAAAAATAGACGTGCATTCAATATACAATTGAGTACATAACCACTGAATTAACACGTGGATAAAGCGAATGGGCACAATGAACACACTACAAAAAAACATGAATTTTGCCACGGAAATTTGCGACGGAAATTTTTCGTCGCTAATTTGCGACGGAATTTTTTTTCCGTCACAAATTACCGACGAAAATTATTCGTCGCTAATTTGCGACGGAATTTGCCACGAAATAAAAATCCATCGCAAATTTGCGACGGAAAAAACATCCGTCGCAAAATCCGTCGGAAATTTGCGACGGATCTATTTTCCATTGCAAATTTCCGACGGATTCCAAAAATTGTATTGCATTTTCCAAACATTTGCAACGGAAACAAAATCCGACGCAAATTTTTGCGACGGAAACAAAGTCCGTCGCAAATTTTTGCGACGGAAAAAGAATCCGTTGCAAATTTTGCGACGGAAAAAAAAATCCGTGGCAAAATTTTGCGACGGAAAACGAATCCGTCGCAAAAAAAAAACTCCGTCGCAAATTTGCAACGGAAACAAAATATGTTCGTCGCTAAAATTTGCGACGAAATATAAAATTCGTCGCAAATTTAATTAAAAAAAGAGCGCCCCAATGACCATCACCCAGTGGCCGGCAAGGGCCCAGTGAGCCTTGCCAACCACAGTAAAAAATAAGGTAAACAAGGAGAAGTGAAGAAAAGAAAAAACCATAAAAAGAAAGGAAAAGAAAAGAAATAAAAAAATCGTAAAAAAATATTAAAAATTATCCATGTTAACGTCGGTCGTGCCACGTAGGACGGTCAGCATCCACGTAAGAGATTTCTGGCCAAAATTGGCCGGATGGACTCAATTGGCAAAACGTGAAAAAGGTTATAGCTCAATTGGTACAATTAAAAAGTTTAAAACTAATTTGGTAAAAATGCAATAGGTCTAGGACTTTTTGGAAAATTTTCCTTCGGGCAGCGAGTAATTAGGATATTGAAATTTCGCATCTTTTATCTAAGTAATAAGGGTGTTGCATCTTCTATCAAAGGAATGTGCGAGCAATTGCAAATAAAAAATGTCCTCCCATCGATTTGTGATGGTATGTCTTAGAACCTTAATTAAATATTAGGAAGAAAGCCACAAAAAATTCCAAACTATGCCCACCATGACATATTTACACTGAACTCTTTTTATGACATTAAAAATCCTAAACTATCCATACCGTGATACATTTACCCTAACTTTTTCTCGTGACATAAAAAGCTCCAAATTTATACCTATGTGACATATTTACCTTCCATCAATGTTTCGAAAGATGATTTTTCAGTCGAAATAACGTCGTTTTTATTTCACTTAAGCCATGTGAATACCATGTCAACAATGTTTGCTTTTTGGCATCGATTTAGACAGATTTTTAACAGTTCTCATTGACGAAACTTTAACGAAGGGTAAATATGTCATACAGGTACAAGTTTGGGACTTTTGATGTTACCAAAAAAAGTTTAGGATAAATATGTCATAGAGGATATAATTTGAGGCTTTTGGTGGATTTTTCCCTTAATAATATGACGAAAGTGTTTGAAATTTAGCGATGTACACGTGAGTCGTGACGTATGAAGTAAATCCTACGTAGAAAAAGTTTTCTTTGATTTTGAAGCACCTTGATCGGAATCCAAACTTATAAGCATACCATAAAATGAGAATTCAAAGGTGAGTTCTGAATCCCATGAAATAATTCACGAGACTATTGAAAAAAAAATCTGCGAAACCTATCTTCAATATTTTATGTGGACCATGATTAATTTAGTCAACATCACTCAAGCTCGTGGGCATCGCGAAACGGCACAATGGGCACATATTGCTCATCGTTAGCCATCGAGCGAGACAATCGTGATGGAACTCGTGCTTGCATGGCATGCTTGCAACTTCCACTTCACGTAGATTCATTTCTTCCAAGCATATCGCGCACGGCTCTCCGGTGCTGCCGTCCTCTCGCCAACCATTGTCTAGCTTCGTCTTCTCTAGCGCGTCGATGGCCTCTTGAGTCGCGGGGACCGTCCTGGAATTGCCAGGATATTCCATCGATTCTTGTATTGCCGCCTCCGATAACAATTCCAAGCCACGTCGCCTCCCCATGATGACTTTGCAGGCCATCTCGACCGGCATCTTCTGGAGGTGCAAGTACCGCTCGCTCCTCAACACGTTTTGCAAGTGCAAGGCCGAGTGCATGAAGATGCAGTCTACCAATTGCCCTTGAAGCGTAATGTAGGGGCTGGCTGTGCGATCGGCGATCACAAGAGAGACCTCAAGGAGCAATCGCTGCTTCACCAAGAGGAGGTCGTACAGGCTGCGCCGGACATTTCGTCGCTGGAGAATGAGGAAGTGGGTTCGCGTGAACCTGTCCCAGAAAAAGCCGCTTCGCCCGTTCTCGCAGTCCTCCGGCAATGGGCTCGCATCCTCTCGCGGACAAAGCACTTGAAGGGTAACGGTGATGGTGACTTCTCGTGGAGTAAGCCCTCGAAGGGTAATGGGGACTTCTTGATCGATATCCATGGCGAATTGAGAACAAGTATTCGTGAAAGTGTAGCGTGGAAAAGGAGGAACTTTCTGTGGATTTCTTGATAATGGAGGGGTTGGATATTATGTTGAATTTCACATGGACTTACAAGAATGAATTTAAGTCTTGTGCGTACAAATTGATAGTACTTCTAATCCTTTTCCTGGGCCGACTGGGATTCTAATTAATCGTTTTTAGACTTGCATCTACACTAAAAGAACAGATGAAAAAATCCTTTGGAGGTTTTCCTCCACATATTTTAATTATATGTGCGCCTTCTTCAATAATTTTGTGCTGTGTTTGGAGCTACATATTCATATGATAATTTGCATAACGGGCGAGTAATCGTCCGGTGCTTAATTCGATCACGGCCTTCCAATTTTGTGAGCACAGAAGAACGGCATAGCGAACACAAGCGGCTCTTGTGCTCGGCCACCGGACTATACACCCACGGTGAAACACGTCGCGCGGAATTGCTTCCTAACCAAGCGCAATTTTCATTTGATTGATCGATCGCTCCTTCGACTTGTATAAGACGACTGGTTAAATTGATTAGTTTCTTCTCCCAAACATATAATCCTGATCTTTTCACAGTAATTACTAGGGAACACATTATATACTGTTTTTTGCATTGATTCTTTTTGCATAACCTACTATTTTTTATATTCGTTTTTTCGTCCCAAGTACGATTAAGAAAGAAAAAATTTCAATAAATGACAGTATTATTTTGCTGACTCTAGTTTGAAAACGGTGAAAGCCTGTTTTGCTGCTTGTTTATACCCATTAAAATTTATCGTAGTTCATACAATTATATAATTCGACAGCAGAGGCAGCTATTCTAACGAAGTACCACATACGAAAAGTAGACGAAATCCGATTTAATTCAAAAACTTCAAATTGAGATTGTAAAGGAAATTATTTACATCCGACTTGTCTTTAGCATCCGCTCATGAATTACTCGAGCTGCATCTCCTCCAATTTCAAGTCATCGTCGTCGAAGTCCTCATCGCGTTTCCTCTTCTCGATCACATCACCAGCCGCTCCGGTCGAGAGAACCACTCCAAAGCCTGAGAAATTCGCGGACCCCATCAGCGCCTCCCTCTGCTGCGGCTGTCCATGGCTCGCCAGAATCACCTCGCAAGTCGCGACAAAGGGTATCCTCTTGCGGTGCGAGTTTTGCTTCACCATCCTCTCTACGCGCACGGCTATGGTTTGGATGATGTCCTTGATCTGGAGCGGATCGAGCGAGACACAGCAACCCGTGTCGCGGTCGTCGACGAGCCGCGAGCCGCTCCGACAGAGCCTATGCCTCAGCGATAGGAGATCCTCAACGTAACGCCAATGGTTGCCGCGCTCGACCACGAAGAAACACATCCGAGTGAACTTGAGATAGCCGTCGGCGCTTTCAATGAACTCTTGATCGTCGTATGGCAGATTGCACGCGTCTTTGGGAGACGCAAATACGTTGGCACATAACATAACTCGACGAGCCATGATCGGGTTGGGTTTGACTAGACAGAATTGTATGCTGACGAGAAAGACAGAGAGGGAGAGATAATCAGGAAGTAAGTAGTGTCTTGAATGGTATTGAAGTGGTAGGTGCTGTAATGTTTTAGTAAACAAGCGAATGATATATATATATATGGTTCTTGAAATTTACTTAATTAATTGCCGTTCCAAATTAAGAAAGTATGATCTCCGATGGATTCAGGATGACCTCAAGAAGATTATCTCGAGTCAAAGTAGGAAACGCCTTAATTGCGTCTGAGGAACACGCTTGTAAACTACTTTCCTTTTTCGCCTTCTTTAATCCCCCGCGTTGAATCTTAATGTGCTAGGACTTGAAGAATTATCTCCTGCATTAATTTTCAAATCAGTACTTTACTGGTTATTTTTTGGCTTTTAAAAAAGGACTTTTATTTTCGTCCTGTAAAAAAATTATGGGATATATTTACTAGAAATCCTAAAATTTGTCACGAAAGTGGAATTGATTCATAAAACTTGCAAAAAGTGCAATCAAGTCCTAAAACTTATCAAATTGATTCAATCAAGTCCTAAAGCTAACACCGTCTAATTTACTGACGGAAAACGTTGACGTGGCGCTTTTAAATATTTTATATCTCATACGTGGCAATGATGGGTCTAAATTACGAAACATAAGGCTAAAACGACGTCGTTTTGGCCAAAATTGAATTTTTAATGCTAATTTTATTTAAATGAAATTTTAAAAATAAGCTAAAAATTAAAAAAGGGGAGAAGGAGAAGTCAGGTGGGGAGGGCTAAAGCCCTTGTCGCCGCCACCCCACCATCGCCGGGAGGGGCCAGTGAGGGTGGGGGATAGCCGGCAGGGATCGCCCAGATCTGGGCGAGGGGACGCGGCCCTCCCCCAGATCAGGTGAGGGTTGCCACTAGAAAAAATAATATAAAAAGTCACGTCGTCACCACGTAAGATAGAAAAAATAATAAAAAAATTCACGTCAGCGTCACGTCAACATTTTCCGTTAGTAAATTAGCAGTGTTAACTTTAGGACTCGAGTGAACTAATTTGATAAGTTTTAGGATTTGATTGTGCTTTTTACAAGTTTTAGGACTCAAATGCACTTTGATGATAATTTTTAGGATTTCTAGTAAACTTATCCCAAAAACTATTAAATAGCAACATGTGAGCATTCTTTATTTATTGTGATTGTGGTTGTTTAACAAGTTGGGGACCATTTGAAATCCATTTATACTAGTTTCTTCACTCGTGCTTCGTTCACTTATAATGTCATTCAAAGGACATTGGAATAATTATCAAAAAAGTCATGAACATATTGTATTTGTGCCAATTTTGTCATAAACCTTTCAATTGTGCCAATTGAATCCTAAACATTTTCACGTTTTACCAAGTGAGTCCATCCGGCGTCCACGTCGGTAAACTCCAGCCAATTTTGGCCTGGTGGGCTCAATTGATAAAACGTGAAAATGTTTATAATTGAATTGTCACAAATTAATAAATTTATGATACTTTTGGCAATTTTCCCAAGGACATCTGGTACAAGATGGGAGCTGAGGATTATTGAATTATAATATTTATGGATCAGTACAATACCATAATCTAGGAATCCAAAGATCGATACGAGGAAGAAAAGACGTCATGATGTTATGTTTCATTAGTCGTGGAAATACAGCTAAAAAATAAATTCTAAAAGATCTCTTAGACCTCGTTCGGTTTCATCTTGTCAAGCGCTAAAATAGCCTCTTGAAATGCCGCAGCCAAATTCCAACTGCTCGCTCCACCATATGTTGATTTGGAAACCCATACAGACTGGTATTTACGTGAGGTGAGAATATCTGTCGCTCCTCAACACTTGGTCTAGATACTGAGCCGGGCGTGCCATGACGATGTCTATGTCCGACCCTGCCATCACGATGGATTTGCCAGTCTCGTATGCCGGTACACAAGAACCCTAGCCGAACAACCTTTGCCTCATCAAGGCGAGACTGTCGGCAACACGCCGCGTGTTGTCTCGCTCGAGCATGAAGGAACGGGCTCTTGTGAACCGGTAGAAGAAATAACGTCTTTTTATTCTGTCGAAGTCGTCCGGTACCGCATCCGCGTCTTCTCGTGGACAGTGAGCATACATAATTATATTTGGTGCTCCCAGTCACAAGGTGAATCGAGATTTGGAGAGCGAAAGGCAGGACTGCTTTTTCGGATAAGCAAACGAAGACGCTGACTGATGAAGAGTTTCGACATCGCTCAGGCCCGAGGGCATGGTGAAATGGCACAATGGGCACAGATTGCTCGTCTTTAGCCATCGAGCGAGACAATGGTGATGGAACTTGTGCTTGCATGGCATGCATGCAACTTCCGCTTCACGAAGATTCATGTCTTCCAAGCATGTCGTGCCCGGCTCTCCAGGACTGCCGTCCTCATGCGAACCAGTGAAGCTTCATCTTCTCTAGCGCGTCGATGGCCTCTTGAGTCACGGGGACTGCCCTGGAACCACCAGGATAATCCATCGATTCTTGTGTTGCCACCTCCGATAAGGAGAAGAGACGGCATCTTCGGAATCCAAACTTATAAGCATGCTATAAAATGAGAATTCAAAGTTGAGTTGTGAATACCATGAAATAATTCACGAGCCTATTGAAAAAAAGAATCTGCAAAACCTATCTTCAATATATTATGTGGACCATGATTAATTTAGTCAACATCACTCAAGCTCGAGGGCATGGCGAAACGGCACAATGGGCACATTGCTCATCGTTCGCCAGCGAGCGAGACAATCGTGATGAAACTCGCGCTTGCATGGCATGCATGCAACTTCCACTTCACATAGATTCATGTCTTCCAAGCATATTGCACACGGCTCTCCGGCGCTGCCGTCCTCCTCTTGTGAACCATTTGTCGAGGTTCGTCTTCTCTAGCACGTCGATGGCCTCTTGACTTGTGGCGACCGCCCTGGAATCGCCGGGATATTCTATTGATTCATGTATTGCCGCCTCCAATAATAATTCCAAGCCAGCTCTCCTCCACATGATGATTTTGCAGGCCATCTCGACCAGCATATTCTGGAGGTGCGAGTACCGCTCGCTCCTCAACACGTTTTGCAAGTGCAAGGCCGAGTGCATGAAGATGCAGTCTACCGATTGCCCTTGTAGCGTAATGCAGGGGCCAGCCGTGCAATCTGCGATCACATGAGAGGCCTCATGGAGCAATCGCTGCTTCACCGAGAGGAGGTCGTCCAGGCTGCGCCGGAAATTTCCTCGCCGGAGCATGAAGAAGCGGGTGCGCGTGAACCTGTCCGAGAAAATACCGCTTTGCCTGTTCTCGCGGTCCTCTGGCAATGTGCTCGCGTCCTCTGGTGGACAAAGCACACGAAGGGTTATAGCCACTTTACGAACGATATCCATGGTGAATTGAGAACAAGTATTCGTGTGGAAAAGGAGGAATTTCCTGTGAATTGCTTGATAATGAATTTAAGTCTTGCGTGTACAAATTTATATTGATTTTAATCCTACGTCGTCTCGAAATTCTCTTTTCCTGGGCCCACTAGGGTTCTAATTAATCTTTTTTATTTAAAAAAAGTAATTTAATTGCGCAAAACCCAGCGAATACAAGCCCAGAAAATTCAGCCCAAATAACCCTCACAAACCCAAGAGTCAGCAGGCCCAATATTGACCCAATAGCCCGAGTCCGTCGTTTCGTATCAGTTCAGGGGAAAAACTGAGACTAGTACAAGAACAAAGGAAACACATAGCAAAGTGGCACAGAGAATTGGATCATTCACGAGGATGTTGAACGGAGAACTGTGACTAATCCATGAACAAGTGGGCGGATCTCAAAGATATTATATCCTAGGGTTTTCTCGAATATTCTAGAATACTCCTGAGGACGGACGATATTGTTATTGTACCCTCTTGTAATAAATGGAGGTAGATGGTAATTGGGGAGGTACGATCTTCACCGTTAGATCGATGAGAGATGTACAAATACGGTCAGTGCTATACTTGTATATGAAGGAGTCTCTCCCCTCATTTTCACATCTCATTTTTAAGTGAAATACAATCCTATTTTTGAATTTGTACTCAAAGATATAGTTTATTTGCCAATTGACATTCCCAAACTTCTATAGTTTATTAGTTTAAGTGTCAAAAAATCCATAAAATTCGTTAAAGGGATAATGACACAAATAGTCCCTGAACTTTGACTTAACGTGCAATTTGGTCCCTAAACTTTAATTTGTTCAATGTAGTCCATGAACTTTAACATAATGTTCAATTTGGTCCCTGAACTTTTAATTTGTTCAATGTGGTCCCTGAACTTTTAATATGTGTTTAATTTAGTCCCTGAACTATATGAAAATGTTCAATATAGTCCCTGCACTTGAAATAATGGAAGGACTATATTGAACATTTTCAAATAGTTCAAGGACTAAATTGAACACATATTAAAAATTCAGGGACCACATTGAACAAATCAAAATTTCAGGGACTAAATTGAACATTAGGTTAAAGTTCAGGGACTACATTGAACAAATTAAAAGTTCATGGACCAAATTGCACATTGGGTCAAAGTTCAGAAACTATTTGTGTCATTTTCCCTTCTTTAAATACAGAAAACTCTTCGAATAGAGAAATTTGAGTAATTTAAAACATAGCCAAATGCCAGAAACTACTTTCCTTTTTGAATCTCAATGTTTTAGGACTTGAACTCCCATATTAATTTATTGAATCATTCCGTATTGTCTTTGAAAAAGTACCTTATTGATTATTATTGGCTTTAAATAAAGGACTCTTATTTTCATATGGTAGACAACATTTATTAAACAGCGATCTGCAAGAATTTTCTAGTTTTAGCTTCGACGAATTGAACTACTTGTTTAGATATATATCACTAAAATACAAAAAAAAAAGTCTGCTTCTTTTTTGTTTGGAGCTAATTTAGGTTAAGTCGAAGTATTTTTGGCCAAACTAATGCACAAAACCATAAATCTTTGTCAATTATTCTTTCTTTCTTTTTTAAATATTAGATTGAAGGAGAACCTCATGAAGTTTTTCATTATCCACACCTTTGAAAAACTCTGAATTCAACCTAAAGGAATTTACAAATTAGATTATTTCAATTATTGTTTTAAACTCCCAATAAACGTAAAAGAGACTTTCTTCATTTATCATATCTCACTAACTGTGCCCTAATGTCGAAAAACATTTTTGTATATGGCTAATTAGAAATTGGTTGCAAACGGTCAAGTACCTATCAATCAGGTTAAGATAGGAAAGTCGAACAGGGAAAGAATCATCATACACTATTGTATCAAAATCAATCGTTCAAACTTTTAGTACAGTGAACCTGTTTAGTTTCAATCACAATCTCCAGGCATCGGAAAACGGCACAGCGGGCACAAGTTGCTCGCGTTCAGCCACCGGACGATACACTCGTGGTGAAAAATATGCTTGCATGGCATGCGCGCCGCTTCTTCCTCGCGCGAAATCTCATCCTTGCAAATCACGCACCCGTCATCGCCATAATCCGAAACCTCGCGGAGCTTTGTTTTCTCGAGAGCGTCAATGGCCGCTCGACTCGCCGGGACCGCTCCAAAGGCATCGGAAACTTCCATCGATTCCCTGAGGGCCGCCTCCATCTCCCTTTGCTCTCTCCGATGGACAGAAACCTCCAAGACCATACGGATCAGTATCTGCCTCAAGTGCGAGTAGAGCTTGGTCCTCCGCAATCTCTCGGCTTCTGCAGCCGCTCTTAGCACGAGGCAATCCGCCTCGTGCCATTCCATGGTGACGTGATGACTGGTTTCGCCGTCGCCAAAGATAATGTGATAGTGTCGGCGGAGCAATCTTTGTTTCATTTGACGTTCGAGGTTGCTACGGAAGTTGAATCGATCGAGAGTGACATAACAAACTCGGGTGAACTTATCGATGGTGTCGCCTCTTTGCATGAGTTCGTGCTCTTCAAGGAATGCGTCGCCGTTCGCCCTTCGGCGACATATCTGGGCATGGACACGAATATCTGCGGCCATTGGTGAATGGAGTGGAAACTTCAGAGATGTTCTTGGTTCTTGATGATGGAGGGAAGGGTTAGGGGATTACTCGGAGGAGTTCCAGTGTCTGGGTTCTGTTGAATTTTTTGAGGGTTTTACGAGGATGGATTTGAGTCTTATGTGCACAAACTTGTATTACTTATAGTGTTATATCTTTCCTGTCCGAGGCCGAGCAGAATTCTCACTAAATTTTCTATTTCCCTAATTAAAGAAGAATAATTTAAGACTTGATGACCACACTATCTAACTACTTTCCTTTTTCAAACTTCGTAATGCCCCACTATCCTATTCCGAGGACTTGAAGAATCATATCCTGCGTTTCGAATCAGTCCAGATTGTCTTTGACCCGAAATAAAAGACTTTTATTTTCATCCGCCTACCGTTGAAAAAATTACTATATGGCGATATGTGTGAGTTTTTCTTTTTTCTTTTTTTGAAGTTTTTTTGTGACTATGGTTGTTTTGGGGAAAATTGTCCAAAAAATCCTAAACCTATTGCACTTTTACCAATTCAGTCCTGAACTTTTTAAGTTTGCCAATTGAGTCATAAACCTTTACACTTCTCGCCAATTGAGTCCTAAACAATTACACTTCTTGCCAATTGAGTCCATCCGGTCAATTTTGGCCGGAAATCGATGATGTGGACGCCGGCCGGCCACGTGTTGCTGACGTGAACATTTTTAAATAATATTTTAATAATTTTCTAAATTTTTTATGATTTTTTTCTTCTTCTTTTTTTCTTTTTCTCTATTTTTTTTTGTTTGGGTTTTGGAATTGGCCGGCGAGGGTGGCTGGCCGACCCTCGCCGGCCAACTCCAAAACCCCCAAAAAAAAATAGAGAAGGAAAAAAGAAGAAGAAGAAAAAAACCATAAAAAATTCAAAATATTATTAAAATATTATTTAAAAATATTCACGTCAGCAACACGTGCCAACCGGTGTCCACATCATCAATTTCCGGCCAAAATTGGCCGGATGGACTCAATTGGCAAGAAGTGTAATTGTTTAGGATTCAATTGGCAAACTTAAAAGGTTTATGACTCAATTGGCAAAAGTGCAATAGATTTATGAATTTTTGGATAATTTTCCGTTGTTTTGTAAGTAGGACGTCCTTCGGGTCTTCTTTTCTTGATTTCATCTTAAATTAAAAAAAAAATGAATTGATTTGTTTTAGCTTACTTAAACATTTCTTAATTGAAAATGTTGGTTATACCTTTTGTTTTCATTTAATACATTCGCACTCGTAAGTTATGATATACATGGTACCGTTTGAAATAATTTATTTGTAGTTTTGTTCATAATGAAGAAAAATGATCAATTTATTTATGTAAATAATATTTTCGTTAGAAAATAATATTTGATCACTCCAAATTATAAATATTTTTAAATATCACCATTACAATCAATGATAACTATATATATATATATATATATATATATTTGAACTAGGCATAGCATTAAATGCAATTAAAATAAAACTAATGGATAAGTGCATCAGAAATCTTAAAATTTGCTTCAAAAAATAGAATTGATTTCTAAAACTTTCAAAAAGTACAATCAAGCCCTAAAAATTATCAAATTAGTGCAATTAATCCATCCGTTATTTTTGTCCAATTTGACTTACTGAAAATGCTAACTTGTCCCTTTTCAATTCTTTCTTAAGACACGTGGCGCTCACCAATAGCTAAAAAAACTAAGGAAAATGATATAAATGGTCCTTAAATTTTGATCTAACGAGCAATGTCGTCCCTGAATTTTTAATTTGTTTAATTTAGTCCCCAAACTTTGGTCCAATTTGCATAGTTGTCCGTCAACTTTTAAATTTTTTAATGTAATCCCTAAACTTTTAAACTTCTTCATATAATCTATATAGTCTAGTGTCGTGACCGACCTCCAGTTTTAAAAAAGGGGTCTCGCCTGGTACGCGCTACGTCTAGGTCCAGGACTTAACTCGGGCTCTCCCAAGCCCATACCGTATCGTAACTTGTGGTTTAGGTTTTAACTTGCAAATGATTTTTATCTAGGAGTCGCCACGAATCAATTTAGGGTGGATTTGATTAGAAACCCAAGTAAGGTGACGGAAGAATCACCCTACTCCTACAAACCAGAGATTAAATGAGTTCGGGGATTTTGTTACACTAGTTGGGTGACTAGTGCCCTTTCGATACCTTTTTACCCTGCTCATTTTATAAAATATTTATCAGGCAATTTGAAATGATTTTAGAACCTATTTCCTAACATGTGAGGTGATCAAACGAGTACGCAATCATTGAAAATTAGCAGTCAAGATAAATATGTAGCCTAAGGTTATAATCCTAATTAAGGCAATAACATTCAAAACACGACAATTTATGCAATTATATTCTAATTATAAACAACATGCATAATAATAATACAACAGTATAAAAGTAACATCCAAAATTCTATTGCATAGCCCTACAGGCTTATCCGATTTAAATATGATTATTAATAAAATAATTCACATAATTTAGAAAAATATTCAAAAATATTAATTTCTAAACTATTTCCTAATTTTAAAAGAAATTTTTTATTTTTTAAAAAATAATAAAAATTACGATTTAAAAAATTAAAATACTTTTTTTATTTTTTATTTATTTTTAAAATACTTTTTTAAAAAATATTTTTAAATTAAAAATAATATAATATTAATAATATTCGATCGGGTTGGGTTGGCGAACCCGGGCCGAGTCAAAACTGACCCGGATCCGTGAACCCGATCGGAATTTGCAGATTCGGGTCGGACTTTCGGATCTGGATCGGGCCAAGACTGACGCGGGCCGATGAACCGGGTTTTGAACCGGACCGGGCCGGTTCGGCCGGGTATCGTGCCTCAAGCGTGGCGAGGCTGCTGACCGGATGAAATTCCGGCAATTTGCTGGCTGTTTCGTCTTGCCAGTGGCTCCACTCTCTTCAGCACACCAAGTTGAAGAGATCCCAGCATCTGGTCGCCGGAGGGCCGACCAAAATGGTCACCGGCCAAGCCCCAACCGGGGTTTGTTAACCCAAACGCCGGTCGGAGCTTGGCCGGCAGACCCAGGCCAAACTTAGGCTTCTTTTGGTCCTTAATAACCGCCACAAAATCAACTCAAGCTAGCTCAGTCACCGTCCGACCATCTATTCTCCCGCGAAGATCAAAAACAAATCGGCCCTATTGAGACATTTTAACAAACAGTTGGCATGCATACATAAAACAGGGGAATTTTGACCTATTTCAGGGCCCCCGCGTATTCAGGCGGCCACGACTCACCTCAGACGGCTATTCAGGATCGTGGGTGGTGTCGGTATGGGCCGGGATTCGCGCGAAATGGCCGGCGCGAGTCCCGGCCAACCTGCATAGGAAAACAGGGCAAAACAGAGACCGGGGAAGGCTCACCGGTCGAGCTGCTTCCGGGGGGGTCCCCGGTCGGTACGAGGGCAACGACGGGGCCGACTGGATTCCTCTTCAGTCCCTACAAATGCTCAGCTCTCACGTTTGCTCTCAGTCTCGCTCAAACTTTTTGCAAATCTCTTTCTCTCTCTCTGTGCTCTGTTTTTGCCCAACCAAGTCCCCCTTTTTTCTCTCTCCTCTCCCCGGCTTTTATAGCCGGTCGGCGGCCACCTGCTCGCCCGCCTCTCCTCCACTCATTCTCTGCTTCATTCTGCTCCGCTAACCTCTGCTTGTCCCCTTGACTTTCGGGGCTTCTTTTTGGGCGGTGGAGGAGCGCTCGGGGAGAGAGGAAGAAGGCAGAGCATTGAAGGGCATTCAATGCCCTTCACTGACACTTCCCCTGCGTTCATTTTCCTTGGTGGAACGGCTTTCCCGTTCCACCATCCGTCGGTCCGACGGTGACAATAAGAAGGAGGGAAGGAACAAGCGGGGAAGGAAGGAGAAAGGAAGGAGAAGGAGGGGGAGGAGGGGCTGGGCTAGGTTGGGCCGAGCCTAGTCCCGCGCGGAAAGGAGGAAGAAAAGAAGGTCAGGTTGGGCCGGCCTTGGCCCGGCCCAATCTGATTTTTTAATATTATTTTTAATTTTTTAAATTTTTTTAATAATTAATTTTTTTAAAAAAATTATAATAAACCCTAATAATGCACAAAAATACCTAATGTCTATATGCAATGCCATTAAATATTAAACCCTAATTTTTTTTGTTTTAGGAATTAAGAACATTAACCCCTAAAATTTTGCATAATTAATTTCGGGCAAAATTAAAATAGGTGTCAACATCTTGGGACTACATTGAACAATAGTTTAGGAATTACAGTGAACATATTAAAAGTCTAGGGACGATATTGCACATTGGGCAAAGTTCAGAAACCACATTGCACAAATTAAAAGTTCAAGATATTGCACATTGAACTAAATTTTAGGGATAATTTGTACCATTATCCCAAAAAACCAAGAGAGAAAAAGAGCACGATTATCTGAATCTTCATGTCTTCAACCAAGACACTTTCGAAGCCAGCTTAAAGAGTGGAATACCTAGTTTGCCTACTCAAAAAGCGCAACTTTCTAGTATTTCAAAGAAGGGAAACTCACTGCAGGCAATGTAATAAAAAAAATTTCTACTTAAATTGAAGGGATTCTAAATGAATTCAAGAGGATGAATCTAAACAAGGTACGATTGGACTTCATATGTGTCGGTCCGCCGGAATTTTAATCATGAAGTTTTTCGAAGGAATATTATTTTTCTATCATGATCAAAACATTGAAGAACCAGAACTAACCGATAGGGTAACCC